ATTCTTGGATTTATATATGCAAGAAACCGAATTCTGACCAGTGTCATCAGTCCAATACGGTTTATAATTTCTCAAAAATTTAAATTCCTAGAATCAACTCTGTACCCAAATGTTTTTACCCACTTTCATTGATATTGAAAAAGATGCCACACAATTTCCTTTAATTTTCTATATAATTATTTTCTGATTTCAACATGGTGGTCCGTACCTTTGAAGAGAACCACTGGTATAGATAGAAGGGAATTGGCGAAAGACGAGGGGGGAATAAGGAAGGAAAAAATTGGGAATTAAACGGAATAATTTTCGTATATCTTAATAAATCAGTCTCTGTCTCTCTCTCTCTCTCACTCCCCCCCTCTCTCTCTCACATACATCTCACATATTTTTCATAAAATGATTGAATTATATACACCCATTGCCTCTTTTTAACACAAACTCCTCTCATCCTCTCATGTTATCGTCTACAGTATACTTGTAGAAGACGAAAAAAGAACACTGATAAAAATCTCACCCAGTTTCCCTTCTTATCACGCTAACACACATCTCGTTCTGTGTCATTCTTACGAGACAATGGAAATCCTTGATGTTTCTTTATCATTACTATTATCATTATTATTTTTTTTTCAATTATTATTATTTACTTCTTTTTTTAGAATACACTCCTGAGGGTTTTATGATTCGAGATATATGAAATAGGTTAAGTGGCTACAAGCAAACGAGGAAAAAAAAATGAAGCTCACACAATGAAACAATAACATTCAAACAAACACATACATACACAGGAACACACGCACGCACGCACGCACGCACACACACACACCACACACACACACACACACACACCACACACTACACACACAAATACACACAAATATACACACAATATATTATATATATATATATATATTAATAAATAATATTATATATATATATATATATATATATGCATATATATATATATATATATATATATATATATATAATATATATATATATATACATATATACGTGTATTCATAATACATATATATATATATATATATGTATGTACGCACGACAACCCCCTCCCCCCCCATCCCCTAGAACCCTATGTATTAGGGAGAGAGAGAGAGAGAGAGAAGAGACGAGAGAGAGAGAGAGAGGAGAGAGAGAGAGAGAGAGAGAGAGAGAGAGAGAGAGAGAGAGAGAGAGAGAGAGAGAAAGTCCTACTGAGAAACTGAATAAGAAATCAAAAACCAGAGTCAGACAATAAAATACGGACAAACAGAAAGACATATACGAATAAAATTAGATAAAACAGCATAAAAAAGAAGAAAAGAATCACTCTAAAAGGAAGTCCGAGGGAAAGGCAGCTCCAGGACGCGGCATCGGAGCGAGTGTGCCCTCTAGCGTCACCGGGAGGAAACTGACGGGCGTCGAGAATGGTGGTGGAAAAAAAAAACGTGGATTCATGGCCTATCTCTCTCTCTTTTATTTCATTTTTTATTTATTTATTTTTTAGGGGGACTTTTTTTTCTTTCTTTTTTTTAATCTTTCGTGGTTTTGTGTTCCCTTCATCCCTCCTTTCCTTCCCCTTTTTTCACTGTCTATTTTTTCCTCTTCTCTCTCCTCCTAGTGCCACCCAGCCTCTCCTTCTCCATCTCTCCTCTTCTCCTCCTCTTCCCATTTCCCTCCTCCTCCTCCCTTTTCTCCCTCTCTCCTCCCTACACACCTTCCCCCTCCTCAATACACCCCTCCTTAAAACGCCTAAAATGGACGGACACCTAAATCGAAACGCTTAAA